TTGAAGAAACAAGCAAGTTAAGAGGGGATCAGTTAAATGGAATTAAAATATTTCTACACAATTATTTGCGCCCGACATTATTTTTCGTAAGTTAGTTGAAGGCCAGTTTCAACGTGAAGGTTTAGCAACAGAACGAGACAAAAGAATAGTGTAGTTTCTGAACTGCACGTCGTGGCGCTATCTGATAACGTAAAAAATTACGCTGGCCAAATTATTTAAAAGATTATACAAAATAAAGGCGGGACTCCATAAAGAAATATCAAACAGGCGTGTAACAATCTAGATTGGCGGGCTCCGTGCCAATGAATCCGGGAATATTGTGGCCATATAAGACGAACAAACACGAGCAGCAGTGGCACTTCAAGCCATCCTTGAACAGAGTTGACTGGTCGATCTGAACAGGAAACTTTCTAGGGGGTGAAGTGATCGGAGGGACGTGTAAAGCGAAAAGAGATCAATACGAAAGGTAAAAATGAAAATAATTCAGTGGTTCCCCGTACTTAGTATACCCGAAGTCAGATTCCTGAATAAATGTTCTAAAATTTGCGTCATTTTAAATTTGGACTCGTTGGAATGCTTCTAGGGACCATTAACTTACTGCCCGGCGTCAGATAAAGGCTTTTTATCGGCCTTTGAACGAGTTTTATTGTTCTAAATTGCCAAGTAGTAGAATGAGTTGATATTTTTGCTAACCTGGTTTTCAAAAATCCAGGTATATGTACTTTTCGCAAATTAGGATTTATGCAAATCTGTTTTACACGCTACTCTGACAAGAGAAAAGTATAAAGCACGCCACTGAGGGATGTTTACAAACATACCTGCTCAGCCTTGTATAGTTAAAATAAGCTTCGGCCGCAAAGAAAAAAACAAACTATCAAGATAGAGTTGAACGCAAAGATAACACTGAGTGATATTCAATGAAAATACTCTTCGCATAAAAACAAACCTGCGAAATCACCGACTATCCAACAAAGTGAAACCGGACAGAAAATAAAATTTCTCACCTCAAAGATTTAGGAAACCTCTAAAATAACATCGTAATCATTATCTGCGTTCGCCGATTGCTTCAGTAACAGTTCAAATAGCAAACCATAGCTAGGCAATAACAGACTCTACTCTATGCCTAAGAAAGCACAAGCGCTCAACTGCGAAGCCATACATTCCTGTTTTCCTGATCGCTTGGTGATTCTAAATGAAGATAGAATACTTTCAGTCGATTAGAAAATGGGATTTCGAAGAAAATCCAAAAAATTTTCTGACTACCGGGCATTTAGTTTTTTTAAAACCCCTCCCGGCTGCCGGGCATATAGCCACAGCGTAAAAATTTTTTAAGTTCTCTTTTTGTCTTCCACTTAATTCCGGCCTTGCGGTGGGTAAATAAGAACTTAAATATTATCAACAGATTAAATGAGCCGATAATTGCTTAGTGTCACTTCAAACCGTTGACTATTCAATAAAATATTGTAACTCACCTTCGTTCCATTGTAAAACAGCAAACTAAAGCTATTTAAGAAAAAGCCATAACTACAAGATGACAAAAGCAATTTTCTAAAAAAGTGGCGGCCATGAAGATAAAGCAAGGTTTAGAAATACGTTTCAACTATTAATAGAAATAGACAATGACGAGACGGGCGATAACAATCTGAAAACAATTACATTCAATAACATAACAGCGGAAGGCGACCGGACAAACTTCTTTAAAATCACCTATCAAAATCAAATTGTTCCAAAAAGTGAAAAATACAGATTAAAGTGTCCAGTAATACACCACTTAATACGATGAAAAAGTAAAATAAAATAACATTTTGGCGACGACTCAACTTATTTGCACCCCACTCTATTAAAATGCAAAACTCGCTCAACCAGTGCAGGTGATCAGTAAAACTACTGGTATTCATGCGCGATAAAATCAACGCAATATACAAGTTATTTTCTCAACTAAAGTAATCAGTTTAATGTGAGGGAATATGGTTTCAAAACACCGGCTTGGTAATAACTGTTTACTTTTGTTCTCTTTGTAGATGGCCTCCAAAGACATAAATATGGTAAGATATGACTCCTTTTGATAAAAAATAATAATAATAACTTACACCTATATCTAGACTATCTTCCAATATGTTTTCTTTTAATGACACAGAGTACGCTGAGAGTACTACGTTTATAACAAAAACCCTCTTTCAAGGAAATATAATTTGGAAAGCTTCATGCAAACTGAATTGCCATTTTGGTTTAATAGGAGCACGTGACAATTCATTTTTATTTTTGTAACAATTTAGGTGAACTCGTCACGCTTTTCCCTCCCTCTAGTTCCCCCTTCGACCGAACGCCTGTTCACAGGATAACAATGCTAATAACCATTTTTGGCAGTAAAATTACTGGCCCAGTTTGTTAAGGACTGTCAGATGCGATGAAGAAACAGGAGGCGAAAGTTGCACACGATTGCTGAATCGAGAAAAGACTGTTACGAAGAGATGCGAATATTCCAAAGAGCGAATAGATCAAAATAATACGTCCGTGTTTTAGCCATCTTTGCAGTAATCTGGCCCTCTATGAGCAAAAATGATTATCAGTGATGCTGATATATCATGAATATATCAACTCTTTCTAAAACAGACACCTTCGGGACCAACCCCAACTACCGTACTTTGAATACCCTCAAATTCTCTCTTTGACGGCAAAAAAGGTGTGTGTGATAAAGGCAAGTTTCTAACGGCTATCTTATGTTGTTTTAAGGTCTCAGAAGATTCAAGCGCTAGTAAAAGGTACGTAATAAACAGGCTACAAATGACGGTAAATTTGTTCTCAGGGCTTTCCCCGTAGAATTTGGGGGAGGGCCTTTCCCGATTGAAAAGAGCGCAGGAGACGAAGTTGAAATGGTGGGTGGAAAGGGTATGTCGTGTTGATCGCCAGCGACTGGTTTACACACGAGGCAAGCATCACAGGTTCCACAAAAGTTTAAATTGTCGTGCCAACATTACAGAACCCTAGTAAAGAAAAAAGGCAATGTTTATTCTCGAGTTACAGTGTCGTTGGGCAACTTATATACTCGCTGCACGGCTAAGGACTGAGGATTCGCCAGATACCAAGAACGGCTTAAATTGATTTCCGAAGAGTTCGAGCTAAGCCTCGTTCCGTACGAAAAGCTTCGCTTTTCAACTCAGTCATGTGACAACTGTTAAAATCGGCGCCATCTGACGATAACCTACCAAGACTTGATACACGATCGACCGACGCTATGATCGGTCACGTCTATTTGATCTCCCCAGCTTCCTATGGAAATATACGTAGACACTGGCGTAAACTCTTGTCCTTGCAAAAGACAATGATGAAAACCATGCATGCTACTTCTTCTGTGTATGTTGATTAGAGTATGTTTATGATTGCCTCGTGCGTGTGAATCTGGTAACGCTTAGACTTCACCAGCAAAACTCTAGGTCATACAATAACGCTCAGAATAGGGTTTGCTGTTTGAGGATTTTGTGAACTTAAAGGTGATAATGTTATTAGACGCCTGTACCATTCAACGCGCACTAGTTTCAGTGAACTCTGAAAGAAACAGAACGACACAGTTGTTACGTTTTAACTAATAATAACGATGTTGTTGTTGTTGTTGTTGTTTTTTTTTTTTGCTTTTTGGGAGGTATTAAATAAAAAAACTGAAAATTCTGAAGACGACATTTTACTTTGGTATTTTGACCTGTCTATTTTCGTATTTGCCCATGATTAGCAGTGATGAAGAACCGATGGAGGTGGACGGAGGACCCAGCAGCCCACCTACGGCTAACACGGCTGGGGGAGCGCAGGTGATGGAGGTGCTTAGCGGTGATGGAGACGCCATGGACTTAGATGAGCCGGGACCCAGCACCGCACCTACTAATACGGCTGGGGTGACCCTCACGAAAGGACTGGTGAGGATCCCACCAACTAATGTATCGGTTGTCATATCTATGTCATCATCTGGCCCCATTTTCAAAAAGGCATACGACTTTAAATTAAATCCCGTTCCTGGAAAACACGCGGAAAGTAAATGTCAGCAGTTGGCAGTTTACGAGAGTTTTACTATCATTTCATTTCTTGCTACGTCCTGCTATTCCTCCAGTTTCAAATTTCATTTCATTTCACCCAATGAAATTTTGATTCCCTTTAGAGCTCCCGTTTTAATCCTTGATTCCTAGTTTTTTTCACGGATGCGTCGTGGTTGTATAAACGGGATGGTCTTATAGCGAGGTAGTCGTAAGGCGGGGTTACACTGTACTTACATTTGGAGATCGTTTCATCCCGTATATATACAAGCATAAGAGCAGTCAAGTATTGTTTCTTCTCAGAGTCCAGAGAGGGAAAGGGAGGAGGAGGAAGGCAACGAGGGTGAAAGCCAAGCAGTGGTTGAAGGCGAGGGAGCTGTTCAGAATGGGGACCCACAATTTGATCAACCCGTTTGGTGAGAAACGTAAAAGTTAGCGTAAATTTAGCAAATGGTCTGGTCTGGTGCGCCAGAGTGTTCTGAGAGCGTTTGCCCGATGGCAACTTGCGTTTGCAAATGCTATAGTCTAAAATACACACCCTTTTCTTCGCTCAATTAAAACTTCTTCTTTGAAATATTCTTTTCGGGGAATTTCTTAAAACGTCTGGGCAGAAGAGACAACGCTGTGGACCCCAAACCCAAAACCACTTTCTACAAAGTTATTCGCGTTAAAGTAAATTAAAAAAAGATACATAAACATAGAATAAAAGAAAAATGAGTGCTCTCCCTTGCTCCTCTTTAAAGTGCAATATTGTACCGCTGGTGAAAAAATAAAACATTGGTAGGAGGATCGAGAACAAGAAGACCCCATTTGACGAAAATAATTATATTAATACTAGTAACAATGAAGCTTCAGCGTCTCAAAATAACCTCTTGGGCGAACTTGCTTCTCTCGAATGTTAAGCTTGATATATAGCCTTTCTCGACCACGTGCCTTTTTTTTTTTAGGTCTGAGAATTCAACAGTACAATCTGAAAGAATGCGTGGTCATTACCCACAGGTAGGTACTTTGCTGCTTAGCCTAATGATACAACATTCAAGGGCCTTGAGTGTAAAAAAGAAGTTGTGTAACCGTCCTGTTTTGAACTCAGATATCGTGGTCACGTGCCCGTTTCTCGAAAGTATTGGTAACTTTCCATGCCTGAGGCCATATCTGAAGAATGAAAGTGAGCGTTTTGGCCCTTAAGAAGTCCATCTTGATACTTTATCAGATACCGTATTTATTCGAATAAGCGCCCAACCTCGAATTAGCGCCCACCTCGAATAAGCGCCCATCCTAAAGGTAGAAAAAGTTAATAAGCGCCCAGCCTCGAATAAGCAGAACAGTCTAAACAAAGATCGAAAAATGGCGGGAGGCGACGTAGTGTTGTTCTTGCCTCTTGAAGACAAAGTATATCAACCTTGTCCCCAGGGCTTACAATGTGGTTGACAATAAACGCATACTGATTTGTATGACATGACGTGGGGTAATAACTTATGTACACAAAGGTGCTCAGTTTTCGACAAGTAAAAATCGCTCAGTAGACATCCTTGTCTGGCAAGGTACTTGACCAGGCCTTGGAAAATATCCAAAAAACGTTCCAGATTCTAACTTAAATTTCATTATACTTTTTAACAGGAACAACAGGACGTTGATCCTTTGGCTACATTTTTTCGGGCACTTTTCTTATATTTGTGTCGTAATAATCCAAATCGACTGATGGAACTAGATTAAATATTTGACATTTATTGTAATAATCAGTTTATTATAAGATTTGTATAAATAACTTGTATTTAAAAAATTTGGATTGCTTTTATGGTACTGGTGGAACCGCTTTACCTTCACTTTGTGGCCACAGTGGGTTCTCTTTTAAAGACTACAGCGAAGATCTTAATTCTCTTACAATATTCCCGTAACAACTTTTGATAGAAGAAAAACTCCTGGCTTTGTTTGTTTAGCTTAAGGTGAATGTTATATCCACTGATTTAGTAATGTATCACAGGACAGGGTTTTCAATTATCATCATTAATCCACTTAATAACAATTTGTACAATGAAGGGGGCTATCCACGTGTAAACTATTGAGGCTTGTTATGAAAAACGGTTGGTTAAATACACTAAAACAGACTTTCTTAGCCTTCGTAGCTGACGGAATTAGCGTGGCAGTGCTGTATTGGTTTGGCGGCGGAGCCGCGAGAAGAGAGGGTACAAGTCAATTTGAAAACCCACCTGCCACAATTTTTTTTACGGGAGTTTCTAATTGGCTAGAAGAGGTAAAGCGCCAATCAAATGATAATTAATATCTCTAATATCTGATTATCTCCCTAGGGAAAGTTAATGCGGTCATGTGGATATGAAATAAAATTGAGCAAGCAAAAATAAGATTTGCGCTTGAATAAGTGTTTACGTAGGTTGCCAAAGCAGAGCAAGGGCTCGACCACTCAGGGGGTACCGCTACTTCGTGACAATTTCAGTGAGCTAAGAAAATTAACCTGACTGAAGCCCCATTCATACCAAATAAACTTATTTTATTACACCAGGTTTAATGAAAAGAAAATTGGTCACAGAAAACTAAAAGAATGGCTGTCGCATAGCATTCAAGTAAGTTTGAAGCTGTGCTTTTATTTGCGCTAAAATTGTCGTCGACCACTGACTCACTGATTTTCGGAAAAGTTCGAGACAAACCAAAATGACTTGTGCAAAACCGCTGGAAATCTTTTATCTTTTTTATTGTTCCAAAATAAATTGTATGTTCAGACCTTTATAACGCAGGTGCGCATTACAAGCACTTCTTAATTATTTTAAATCACTTTGTTATGTTTTCCGTGTTTATATCGCATGCGTGAACAACTCTCCTGTAGCCAGTCAAAACAAAAAAATAATTCCCAAAATAACCCAAATACGTTTTCTAAAAATGAAACAAAACATTAATATGAAGATATATTTGGACGACTACTTCAATGAGTATGAAATAAAAACTTGATCAAGATTCACACTTGAATAAGCACAAAGTACCGCACGATATGTTATTTGATGAAAATAAGCCCTGAAATGACAAATAATGAAAAATCACTATCGTCTCCAGCCAGGACCCTGGACCTCTCTTTTGCTTTCAATTTGCAAACGTTCTGCTTGATCATTCATTTACGCAGTGAAACGGGTTTAAATTGATGCAAAGGTAAAAGAATGGCACAGGTAGATGTGAATTATCAGTGATATACACAGATTTTAAAAAGACGACTGTGCCACAGTTTCAGGGTTGTACAAGCTCAGAAAGACAAGATTAGATTTAAACAGTAATGAGCCCAACTTAAATTCAACTAAACCCACGGAGCGAAAAATGGCAGTAATGCGTTGTAACACTCAAATTTTATCTTTCAGTTTTCTCTTCGTTTACTTGCATAGATATAGACCAGAGTCAACTCTAACCCACTCCTTCGATTCACCGACCTTTAGCGCCAGTAATTTAAACGAAGTTTAGCCAGTGTTTAACAAAACTAAGGTCTTCTAAGCCATTTTCGGTTTGCCGAAGGCTTTAATGTAAACACCATTTATTGTAAACAGTTTCATGAATGCATATGGCGAAGACTAGAACTGAAAGCATTTGCCTTTTTAAAATGACCCACTAAGAAAGAGATCTGGAGGTCCTAAGATTTCCTAAACCGCGGTCTAAGTTAGACTTCGTTTTAATAACCGACCCTTGTAGCTTAAGGGCCGCTCAAGCACCCTTACAGGCTACGCTGCGCTTTAAAATTGTTCGTCGTATAAAAAGTCTAAGAATCAAACGGATCAAAAAGTCTATGAATAAAATTAAACATCATAATTATCACTATGTAAAGACTGACAAATCTGTAAGTGCGGTGTCTACTTTAAGAGTCCCACTGTTTTCTGTTAACCTCACTGTTTAGCAAACTTAATTGTTTTGACTAACATTACGCTGTCTGAGGTCTACCCTGCGAGCAGAGGTTTCTCTCTTGCTTGGCTTTTAGCGTTTACGCGTAAACAAACAACTACGCGACAGACAAGACACGCGAATGACTTCGTAAACGCTAGAAGCCATGCAAGAGAGAAACCTCTGCTCGCAAGGTATCTGAGGTCTGAAACAGATGTCAAGGCAGTTCGATAATCGAATAAACAACTACAAGCTGGACGTGATGAATCATCATAACGAATTGAGTTGGCCAAATATGGAAGTTACCTAATAAGATATTAACGCATTGTCTAGTCACATGAGAAGAGAACATTACAGCCATTCAACCGAGTTATAGCAGAAGTCTGAAATTTCACATTCCTTCGTACCTTCAGGGTAGACTACGCAAGTTTTTTCTATACAATGGAAGTTTTTGACACCTTGCTTTTTCGTCAAACGTTGATACTGCTTAGTCACAAACACTGTGGGACGGTCGACCAATTTATTTCTCCAACTGAACTTCCACATCACGTAACCAAGGAAAACAAGACAAGTTATGAACAACAATACGCCATTATCGACGAGTGTCTGTCGAGTGTTGCCCGAGATATCAACGTCAATCGGATCGAAAGAAACTTGCAGGAAGAAGTGAAATGGAAGGAAAGGTAAGGGTAACTTAAGCATACCGAAAAATCAAGGACTTTTATCAGTCTTTTTTCTGTTGACATTTGATAATTATGCTGTAGATCATCCAGAGTCCTACCTCTGTTGAAAAGTTCGCTAGCCACAGAAAAAACACTGTTTTGACTGCAAATTGTTCTGTTATAATTACAAAGAAGCGTAGCCGTCAAGACTCGGATTCTTTTAGAAATTGATCAAGTGATCTGACTGCGTAACAAACAGAGACTCCTTCTATTTTCAGATACGTAGACGTCACGAGTGACCGCCTACCAATACTTGACCTAAAGTTTGATACTGTCTTCGAAACTCAACCGCAGCTGTGATTAAGAGGTTTTTCACGGTCACTGGTAAACAACACCTGACGAATATACGTATTTTTCAACTACGGTTCTCAAGAGCATGGGACGTCATGGTTTAAGCCCGTTTGTTCCCGGCCGTACAGGGCTAGGACATATTTATCGCGTCACGCACTAAACAGGCAAAAGCTTCTTCACCGCAAGCAGACTACTGTAGTATCCATCCCTGTGCCAAGTTGTTCAGAAAAAAGGGGACAAAATCGACAGGAATAAATATTTACAAGCGCATGAAACCGATGAGTGCCCATGCGTGCAGGCAAATTTACCGCTGAAAGCACGCACCGCTGTCAGCAGCGCTGTCAACTTAAGAAGACAGAAAATATCCTTCGCACAATAACTCCGTAAAGGTACCTCATCGTTGGATTGAAAAAGTTTCTCTTCGCTTCAGGAAAGGTAAGAAAAAGCGAAATTTAAGGAAATGAGAAACTCGTAAGTACAGCCGTTGATATTTTGCAAACAAATAGACAAACTCTTCACGATAATTTACCAACACGAGAAATATTTGTTTTCGCACAGACGCGTGACCTCGTCTGTCATGATATTCTGAACAATATCTAGAGAACATTCATCTAGTCCAAAAACTTTATGCGATAAAACTGGAGGATAATCGTATCTATATAATTGTAGTTTACATATTTAACTAAAAGAGAACCCAAGTCAGCCAAATCAGTGTCATAGTGAAAAGTGTCACACGCAAATGGCCCTTTATCGACGGAGCGCCCTAAACTTCACAACGAAAATTATCCTGTTACTATTTGTATGAAGTCCACAGTTTGTCTTACGGGGAATGCTTTCGTATCATGAGTGCCATTCAGTACTTGAAGTTTGATGTTACTTCCCAACAATCTTTTAAAAGCAATTCGCAGGTTAAGCAAAAGCAAAGAATGCCTTATCACATGTTTGGTTTAACAAATCTTGATACAACCCTAATACTTAACTTATTTTAGTAGAGAATTCATAACATGGAAAGTAAAACACAGGAAGTATCATTGTTAACCATGAAGCGAGCAAACAGATCGTTGAGTAGACCAAATATTTAATCCAAGTTTTTCACGCATAACAAATAAACAATGTACGACCTAGAATCTTTTCCTCGCGTAAAGAACAAAGCTTAATGGAAGGAGCCAAAGGCTTACATTTTATCGGGGTTTAGCTACCACCTGTAGAAGGTAAACGCAGCACTATATCAACGACAAATTTGTACTTTTAACTTTAAAATGATCATTTTAAGTACTCTCGGAAATATGGTTTCCACCAGTACCGCAAATAATTATGCCGCGCGATTGTCAAAAAGAAAAACGAAAATAATTCCACCTTAGTTGTGAAAAAAAAAATGAACAGTTACAAGACCATTTGCGAAATTTATCGGTCCTAAAAGTTGATCATCCAGCATTTAAAAGAGCACACAAGCCGACGAGATTGGCGTGCAAAAAGAATCCGTTGCTTTGTTCAGTGATTTTCGATGCCTTGTGTTAATGTTGGCAAAACGGAAATTACTAAATTGGTAAATAAACACAGCTGTGTCGCTGTGTCTAAGCAATCGGATAGCTAATCATATATCAATATGATAGCTCAGATTAATTTCGTCCGGATAATGTGATAATCTTAAAAGTAGTGATAACAGCCCACCAATTAGCCCTCTCAAACAAAATAACACTCATCAGGCATGTGGGTCGCCTTGCGGAATTTTAAAAAGATAACCATTCGAGGGTGAAACCTACTATTGTGACAGACAATTAATCACTGATATCCTAAAGGAACTTACTTTTGAAACACAATGCAGGAAGTAATTGACCATGTTGCGCTTTTATTGTGTGTCTGCTAACGAAGAATACAAATGCAGTGTTTGTGATAGAGTGCACCATTGTAGAGACTTGTGAACTACGAGGAATTAAGTATTAAAATAACAATGTGATTTTTTTCTGTCTTTTCAGGTCGTATGGCGGAACCTAAACAGGTAAGACCCTCCAATTTTTAGAGGAGCTTGAATTTTTAATGATATTCTACCTACAACATAATGTGATGTTGGGTTTTCAATTTACGGTAATTTTAAGGCAAAGCAATAACGTGATGTTATTGGCTAAAGAACTCATTAAATGAGCCGTTCGCGCGCAATTTTCCCCTCGTTTGTCGCCGATTTCACCTATTTTCTTTCGACCTGCTTCATTCGTGTATTTCGGTACACTAAATAGATTTTCCCTTCTATTTACCTCACTTATTTGAGGGGGGAGACTCTGAGCTTTTTCTCTCGTGTTTAACCCATTCGCTCCTGGAGATTTTGCCGAAAAACGCGTTTTGAAGCTAGTCGAGTGGTTTTCTGGTCACTGTCGTGCTATAAAGAGCTAAAACTTACCACAAACCGGTTTACAGGTCGTACACGTGGCGGCCTTCTGATCCAGATGCAAAATATCAGCTTGCGAAGTTCGGGCATGCGCAGAAAGCAAAATTTCGCTTTCTCTCCTCCCTTCTTTTTTCGCTTTTCTTGCCTCATTTTTTTTTTCTCTTGCTGGGCATTTAGTAGGCTTCATTTTGGTGGGAAGAGTTTTTAGGAAAGCTTTTAGGATCTTAGGATTAGGTGAAAGGAAAGGTAGGTGGGTAATGGAACAAGATTTTCATGGAGATTTTCAGGTCCTTGTCACGTGGTTTTTTGCTTCTTTCTCCGGTGTCCTTGACTGAATTGTGCTCATTCTGGTATGGTTTGAAAGATCTCTTCACTCTGCACAAGTTAGCGAAGAAAGTTGTCCTTGACCGTTAAAACTGATGACGTCACAAAGGGTAGAAAGGACCTGGATCCGCACGGGCGGTTACGGGCGGTTCAGGGGCGAATGGGTTAAGATTAAAAGAAAATTATTCATAAACTAGTAGTAATCATAGATCAATAAGTGCGTTCGAGTTTTCTTAGCTCCAGATCAGCTTTTGTGTCGTCAAGCATGATTTCAAAATCATGGAAGAGATCATGAATTAAAAGGTAGACATTCTTTTCGTAAAAAATGTTCTTCGCGTATACGGCTTCAAAATATCTCACTCATTAACTCTCTACTCTTAAAATGTCTTACTCTCCCTCAAGCATGGTCGATAAAAATGTAAAGTAGATCGTAAAAAGTTCTTTGCTGTTAAAAAGATAAACATGTCACTACAAACTTCGAAAAAATGGTAGCCTTGAAGGTTAAAAGTCTTGGCTTCTTGCGTGACACAACTTGAAGTGAAAACAATGATCATAGGAGCGACGGAAACATATTAGGTTTCTGCTAGATTACTGATGTCAGAGAACCGGACAGAATCTTTTGCCATTGTGCAAACTTTTCATCTCATGATTATTTTAAGTTCATGTAGGTCAGTTCAACATGTTTTAAACTTAGCTTGCTTCAGCGAGTGAGATACTTATCACGCAAAATTATCCGCGTAGAGATATCAGACGTGAATAAAGCATTACAGTTGTAACAACCTGCACTGATACGCTCAAGCTTACTTTTTCGTGCATGAAAGAGGTTAAACTACAAATAAGTAAATAGACTCAAACGCACGGGTAAACTTCTCACGGCACAAATGTTACCTGGTCTTTATTTGTGTGTTTCTACGAAGTTCCAGCTCGATTTGAACGGCATTGACCGAAAGTTTGGCAGAATCATCAGCTCAGTGATAAAACCCGCTTAGAAAACAACTCCAACGTTCATTCTTTTGCCGAACTCAAATATTCCCGTGTAATGTAGTTGACCTTGATGGAACCAGTGATGCACGTGATTGCCATATGACAATTGCTTATGACGTAATTAAAGCTTGAACCACGAGGCAGAATGCTTTGCGCAACGAAATTGTGACGTCATTCAAAATGGCGCCGAAAAGGTGAACCATGGAACGAAAAAACACGGGTCAGCTTTCGCTTGCGTGCACAGGGCACCTACGCGATAACAGGCAACCCAGGAGATTAGGAAGCGTTCTTCCTTCGTCGAACGCAAAAAGTCTCGCCCTTTCCCAAATCACCTAGACTTCACCCCTTCAATTTTGTTTGCCACTAAATTCTACAAGATGTCATTAACCGAGTTCAGGACGGAGCTACCTATAATATGATTATCAGCGTTTATTAGGAAGTTAAGATGTTATGCATTATTCAAAAGTCGTGGTCAGTTCAGAACTTGCATTAGACGTTGACAGTTTTTATTACTATTACTCTAAAGGATAAAAATGAAAACTCATCTGATGAGGAGGACAAAAATAGGTAAGAGTAAGAGTTTGCGGTTCGATTGCCTATCGAGTAAACCTTTTAGGACAATGATTGGAAAAAAAAAAACCTTGTGAGTGTGCGACAAAAGTGTTCCGCTACGTTCAAAACCTTTTTTTTTTTTCTCAAATGGTCCCTTGTTGCCCTTCATCTTATTCTCATATTAGAAACAACAGTTCAGGTTATTTTCCGAATACGTTTCTTGTAAAGATCGCCTAAAACCAATTCTCATGCTTTGCAGAATTCACAACCTTCCCCTTGAACCTTACACAGCTGGTTTGGCTGAAAATTACGCGATTTTCCTCTTACGATTACTTTGGCTGGACGTAATGAATGCATAATAGTACTGAATTAAGTATACAAACAGAGTTAACATTTCTTACCTGTATGTTGATGCCATTTCAGTGACAGTTCCCAAAGCACGGAAGTCGAAGAGGAACATCCTAGACAGGACAATGGGTATTCCCTGGAAAGGGAATCACCCTTTCATCAGGTAAGCTCTTGAGATCATCATAGTGCATCTCTCAACATCTGCCAAAATAAATAACTCTTTTTAGTATTGCTTAGAAACATCACCTCGATCACACTACATGTCGTAAAAATATGTTCAACATCTAGCAAATACCACGAAATCTTGCTCTTTATAAAGGGTAAAGGGACCCTTAATTCTCTATTATTTATTTTAAGAACCAAGCAGAAATGAGGGAGGAAGAGGGCGAAAATGTGAACGAAGAAGCACAGCAAACCACGGACCAGGAATGTGGTCCACGAGCAACTATCTGGTAAGACAAAAACTTGCATGGAAAAAATGATCATCAAATAAAGCCCAACTTGACCGCTTGTGACTAAGCAGGATATAGTATATAAACCCGGCAGTAGACGACTTGCAGGGCTCGAAATACTCACAGACGCGCAAAATTCAAGTGGGTTAAAGGGTTAAAATACACTAGTAGACTAAGGAAACACTACATGAATTTGAACTCAGTTAAATATAAGGATTTAATATTTCTGCACATGTCTTATTTCAGTGGTTTAGCTTCTCAGCTTCCCTATCACAGTTCTGCAGTCTCTCAGGTAGGTACAGAAAACCAATAACGATCAAAGTTCAGTGGATAACTTTGTGGTAACCACATAATTATCGCTCTGGCCCTGCAGCAAATATGTTTTTTATTACTATGTTTGTTGTTGTTCTTTTCTTTTTTGTTTGTTTTGTTTTCAATTTTAAATTGTAGCAAATCAGTAAAAGGCGATCACGAGATGTACCGTTTCTTTACCACTCCTTCTCTTTCAGAACCAACCAGAGAGATATGCCCAGCAGGCAACTGCAGGGCAAATAAGGTAATCAACGTAAAGACACACGTAACTGGGTTGTGCTTTATGCATGTCAGAATGTCCAAACAATACAAAAGAGAGATGGACAAAAACTTTTTTTTCATTTCCAAATGGATTGTGATAATAATGCAAAAAAATCAATGTAAGGAATTCAAAATAAAATTCTATTTTTCTCTATACGAACCCTCTGGATGTTACTGAGGTGAAGGTTCGCAAATGATGCCATCAGCCACGGAACGTTTGTAATAATTGACCAATTCAAATACCACAGTGCACTAGGTCCTGAAAGCTGCATTTGCTCTTACACACAAGACCACATCTTCCGCAAAATAATTTTTCAACAAAAGTGGTTATTGAAAAAGCGGTTGCAAAGATCTTACGACACCTTAACAACTAGATAATTCGATTCTCCTCGCCTACTGTTGTACATTTATCTCACTTTCAGGTCCGAGAATTTAGTGGCAAATTCGGAACGAGCGCGTGCACAGCCGCAGGTAGGTAGTGGGGGAAATAGGGTATTAACCCTTCAAGCCTTAAAAGTGATCAGCATCAAATTTCTCCTTGTAATACCAATGCTTTAAAAAACAGAGTGGTCATGAGAATTACGAATATGATCACAAAAGTTGAATTTGCTTGAAATTTTATCAACTTCTCCCCACTACTTCTGTAGTGAAATGAATGGGGGCAACAAATGAGAATTCAAATTTTGATCTTAGGGTTTAAAGGGTTAACACAGTATGAATGCCCCGTGTATTACGGATCAATGAAAGGGAGTTGCAGTTAAATCTTATGAGACTTCCTATTCCCTGAGCTCATGTAAATAAACACGATAAACTCAGTAGAAGAGATAAGCGATTCTGAGAATTGTTTGATAGGCAGGTTCGTAAGCTTCACAATCATGGAACTCCATTAAGCCTTGAAAACAACGTAACCTGCTCAGTGGCGGATCAAGGGGAGCGCCCCCCCCCCCCCCCACCCCACTTATTTTTAGACCAAACTGAGTCCCGAAGGCTCGAAAAAAATGTTTCGGGGCCGGCCCCAGGCCGAACGTACGAGCGGCACATGAAAAGTCTCTGGCACCCGGGGTATTTTAGTCTTGCAAGACCACGCAAATGTTGTCCCTATAACACACACATTATTCAAGGAACGCCGCACGGTATACTTTTTTACATTCTGAACGGTATTTCGACTTCAGCTGACAAAAACCTAACCAAAAATAGATATCATAAAATCCTAACTGTCTTAAGCAATGGTGCAACTGAGCAAAATATGAAGAGATAACTGACCTAGAGTCGTGATTGAAGCTTCATGTATAGGACGTGGGACAATTTAAGGAACAGTACGACATTTTACTTCCCGGGTATTTTTTTTAAGTCTAACTCAAATTTCATCATATCTTCCACAGCACCACGAAGAACCTGGTCCCATGGCAGTGATTACCCTTGTTCTTGTCCTATATTTAATAAACACTTTGTAAGCATTATTTAATTAAAAGTTGTGTTAAAATTATACTGCTTGGTTTAAGTTTGATTACAAAACCAACCCTCCTAAAGTAAGCATGTGCGGTCCTTGTTAACGCTCTCATATCAGACACATCCCACAGCTGCGGAGATTGACTAAATCCTGATCAGTTGGGGCAAAACCAGATAAATATTACTACCCTCTTTTACAAAAAGGAGAACGACTTAAAATATGTTCACATGGTACTGGACGAATTTTAGACTCGCTTAAAATTCGTGCCTTTAGTTGTTCGGTTCACGCGGAATCTGCACATGGATGCATTGTAAAATCAATGAGAAAAAATTTAACCTGGCTGGTCAGTTTAGCGTGAACAATGCGGAAATTCTGAACGATTCCGTGTGAACGAAACATCCGGTCGAGTTTTTAGCCGTTCGAAAATTAGTCCGTTACCGTGAGAACGCAGCCCTGAAGTTAACTCTCCTAAAGTAAGCATGTGTGGTTCTTGTTGTCCAAACTAACTCATCTGAAATTAAATTATGACCCCGTTTTACACAAGACTAAAGGCTCAAGGTCAACTATCCGTAGGAATCTACAAAAGGCCATTACAAGCTAATTGACGTGGCTTGTAGCTGGAGGTCACGTGACTGACTTCAGGCTAATGAAAATCATGGGATAAAACTCCAAAATACCAAAGAAAAGCGCGTCGGTATGATATTAAGGTGCTTTGAAAAACGGAGGAGATACAATAACTATCAATGGATGACTGAAATCACTGGAGCGCAAGCAGTCAGGTTGCGGTCCAGTACTTTTTTCCCATAAAAATCGTAATAATTTTCTATACATTCCAAGACCCATCTACAATCGATTAGGTGAAATTATGGTCTCGGGTACTGTTTTCTCCTTGTTTAGATAAATCATAATAGCGTACCGTTGAAAGCAAAAAAAAAAAAAACAAAGAGAGTTACTCGCAGGCAGGCTTTAAGGGACACTTTTACAACACAAAGTAAAACGTAAGGATTTAGTCGCACTCCTTAGGATGGCCGCAAAAGGCCAAACGCTCTAACTGAATTGCGCTTTATCTGAACAGGCTGATAGAGTTACTGTGGGTTCCCCAATCGGGCCCTTTGCAGCAAACGTCTTTCAATTCGAAGAAAACCTTGAGCTCAAAGCAAAACTCTGCTCAGGATAAAAACAAAGACAAAATCGCGAAATTTTGTACCCTTTTTCTCTAATTTTTTTTTTTTGCACTCGCGAAAATTAGTACTCGCGAAATACGGCTCCCGAATATTCGCGAAATTAAGTACGCGCGAAAATTAGTAAGAATAATGTACCTATAGACAAACGGAGTGGACGTTTTGCTGCGCTTCAAAGCAATAATAAACAGTATTGACGCCTTGCGAGCCTATAGAGCGTTTTTACATGACGTCACGGCGGCCATATTGGTGTTCCAAAACAATAAAACGGCGGCTTTCTTATGTAAACGCTTTCTTTTGTTCCAATAAATTTGCATAGATGCTGGTCACGTGAGTGAAAACGCTCTCTTCCGTGAAACGTTTTTCAGTTTTTCCCATGAGTCCTTGCAAGCTACCACAATCCCTTTCACAAGGTTAGCACGGATCTCTATACTCCAAACTGACATTTCCCTCTCACAAGACATTCTGAGACATTTCCCTTTTTGCTACATGAAATTTCTATATCTCTTGGAATTTTTGCTTGAGAAATGTTCATGAAAGTCTAAGTCTCTTCAATTTTTAAGGAGAAAAACAATTCAGACATGCGTGAGTAGGAATCGAACCACTACGCCACTGACGATTGATGGTTTGATTTGAAAATATATAGCAACAACCCTAACCCCAAATAGAAGATAACCGTTTACGGAGTCAGTGTTTAACCCTAATCACTACTCTCAGGGCTTAGACCTAATCAGTATTGATCAGTGCTTAACCCCAATCATTATTTTCAGGGCTTAACCCTTTTGAGTATTGATAGTCAATACGGTTCCTTCCTTTGTAGAGAATTCGTTTATGTATGAATCATAATGTGTCAACGTCATTTTGGAGAATGGAGATGAGTATTAACCGCGCATCACATGATTCAGTCAATGCAAGGTGTAAAGAAAAGGACTATATCTAGAAGTTTGGCTCGAGAATCAGACGTTTCAAAAGGGAAAGTTAACAACGGTAAGTAAAGAATCGCAACGAAAAGCCACGCTATATATTTTAGATATCATTTATTGCGGGCTGCGCCATGCTCCGTGTTTCAGAAATGAAGAAAATATAATCAATGTTACACTTCCCTTCGTACACAACAGGTTGCTTGAAAGTAACCGCTCCTTGCGTGTGTAATTAGACCACCAACGACCAACGGAATTAGAACAAATACCTAAAGGGTAACATTATGGAAGTGGGGCTTACTAGATCAACTCAAAAGTCAACTCCAGTCAAGAGTATAAAGTTGGTTAACCGTAAAGTATTCAGTATTCAGTTGTTTGTAGTATTTCATTGTTCTTTCCGCTTTTCCGCTTTCCGCTCTGTTCCCATTTTCGTAATGTTCTTTGTTTTGAAAAGGACGATACGTCTAGAGAGGCCAACTGGGTTAATCTAAAACGTAACTTGCCAGAAATCTATGTGACCTAAACCAAACTATCGATAAACTAATACATTAAACTGCCAATGGTGTCATTCTACAAATAACAAATAACCGTATCAAGTGGCTCTGGTGTTTATCTAAATTTCCGTCAGTATTTTGATAATACCTCATAATCAGTCAAGTAAAGACTAATTGTTCAGGTCGCGTGGCTTTTGAATGTGGCGTTTGGCCATGATCTAGTAAGCACCACTTCCATGCATAACCCTTCCATGGTTTACGGTCGTTTCGATCCAAAGTCGATTCGATCCAAGTCATTTCGATCCAAATTGAAGTCGTTTCGATCCATCATCAAAGTCGATTCGACCCACCTAGAAAGTCGGTTCGATTTAAAACTAAGTCGTTTGAAAACAAACAAGAAACGAATAATTTTGTTGTCTTCTACTGTTTCATCAGTGACGTAACTTCAACCAGCCGCGTGCTTTAACATAAAAGCTGTCGCATAATGGCCGTTTTCATACTTGAGGACGCACTATCCGTCCAGACGGATAATGCGTCTGTGGCCGTTTTTATACTAAGGACACATTATCTGACTGGACGAACTTGGGCAAACATTTGTAGCTCGTCTGGTTATGCGTCTCAAGTATAAAGACGGGCACAAGACTAATTATGCGTCTGAACGAACAATCCTTCGTAATACGTCTTGAACGACGCACTAAGAAAGGTAGTTCGCCTGGACGCATAGCGCGTCTTGTGCCCGTCTTTATACTAGAGACGTATAACCCGGACGAACTACAACATGTCTGCCCAAGTTCGTCCAGACGGATAATGCGTCCTTAGTATAAAAACGGCCAACAAGTCTTTGTGAGAGCGGAAGTGTAAGTATGACGTACACAAGAAACTAAAAATAGCAAGGAACGATCATTCAATCGAAGTCTAACAGAAATCAATAGATTCCCAGATCTCTTTCCAATAGAGTTATTTTAGGAAGATTCTACGCCAAATGCTCTCATATTTCAGGTTTCAAGTCGAAAATTATGGTAACAATCTTTTAAACTAAAATTTGAATTAGTATCGTCTGAATTTTTAAGAAATACTGCATTTTTAAAAAAAATCTAGCATTTTAAAAATTTAACGCTTCAATAGATCTAGTTTTAATGTTCAGTATTGATTATCTAGCGATTTAATATATTTTTGGAACTTACAACATTTTAATCATCCCTGTAATTATCCCTGTAAATATTGCCCACGGGTTGGCAAGGTTATATAAAATACACCATCTAACGACATTACATAACTGACGTCTAACAACATAGTGGGTTTTTCTAATCTGTTTTCCTCTTTTTCCAGATGGCTGAAAAACAGGTAAGGAATTTCTTTTATAGCAAAGGTTGCTTGCTAAGGTCACGCCATTTAAAAACGTCCAATAACGTCTCTCATAGAATTAAAGTGGACTCAAACTAAAACGATTCTTACTTGACAGCCTCAAAATGGGAACTGAAAAATTTGATCGCGTCGGCTTCTCGTGGATTTGAGAAGGAACAATTCTTTAATGCTATTAGCAACTGCTTCGCTCGTTGGAGGTCGGGTGCCTCCAGTAACTAGGGGCTTCCACTTTGGGCAGCCGCCTCCTATAACGAATAGGGAGTTTATGCAACGACGACGGCGACGGCAACGAGAACGGCAAAAAAGCAATAGGTTTAGACAAGCAAAACAACAACTTTGCACGTGCATCACGTTCTTTGATACATTTCTCTGCCTTCGTTGCACGACTACAACGTGAAACTGCCTAATTTCACGTTTTGTCGCAGGACGGGGACAAAAGACAACAACTTTCTTTTTCTTTTCCGGAACTTTGATGGAGTCCTTTAGAATCAACTCCACAAAAATTTGCCAACATTTGACGAATCAAACGAGATGGAATAAACGCGATAAAGTTTGAGGCAGCGCAAATTCACTTTTAAGTGACGTTTTCGTAGCCGTCGCCGTCTTCGTTGCGTGAACTCGCTAATGACACTCACATGGCTGGCACAACTGCACAACCTAGCAGTAAGGCCTTTTACATAGGAAAAAAATGCACCCGTCATCCGTGGCAAAGCAAGGGGGAGGGAAGGGAGAGTAAGAAAACTGGCTTAATAAAACTTCTCACGCTGCCCAAAACATACTTCACGTGGACGATGCAACGAGCCACTGAGCATGCGAATACAGTCGACCACTGACCACTAGCACCGGTACATGTACCATTAGTAAACTGGTTGATCGGTCAAAGGACGAAAAGATTTTACGATCAGTCACAGTTGAACAGTCGTCTATTGTTAGTCAAATTATCAGTTCTCCAGTCGTTCTCTCGTAGTTAGTTTTGCTTGATCTCGTCAATAAGTCGTTTGTACGGCGCTGGTAACTGCGTATGTATGGACGCCTTGCGAGCCTACTTCGTTAATAGCATTCCACTTTGTCCCATGACTCCCTGCAAACTTCGACAATCGCTTTGTGCATGCTTCAGTCGATGCACGAAGGAAAGGATTTTAAAGTTTGGCTCGAGGATATTAGACGCATCAAAAGACAAAGTAAACAACGCCGGTAAGTAAAGAATCCCTAAGAAAAGGCACGCTATACTTTTTAGATTTCACTTACTGCGGGCTCCGCCATGCGCTGTGTTTCAGAAAAGAAGAGGATATAATCAATGTTACACTTCACTTCGTACACAACAGGTTGTTTGAAATTAATCCCTCCTTGCGTGTGTATAAAAATTGCCAAAATCAACACGAAATTAGAACAACAAATACCTAAAGCATAACATTTGGAAGTGGGCCTTACTAGATCATGATCTAGGAATCTTGAACGGTTCAAAAGTAGCCGCAAGTCATTGTACTAAGTGTCTCATCACTGATCGAATACAAAACGATTTACGATGATTTGCGGCTTTCAAATAACGTGACCTTACCACTAATTAGGATGTGTTTACTCAAAGTCGATACGTAGCAGATAAATGTATCCACCGTGACTTTGCACCTAATGCCTAATATGAGCAGATAATGGCGGAATTCACTGCGAAAAGTTCCAAATAGACAGGGCCGTTTGTTCCATGGTTTTATCAGAATGTTGCGTAAACAATCACGATGATTCCGCTCCATGCAAGAGTACATAACAAAACCTTCCCACCCACATTGAAAAGCCACGCGACATTAATTCTTTACTTGACCGATTATGAGGTATTATAATATTGACGGAACTTTTAAGATAAACACCAGAGCCACTTGATACACGTTAATTATAAAAGCCTGACAACAGAGACTACATATTGTTATTTGTCCATTGACAAAATTGACTTTGACATATTAGATCACCCAGACTGCAGTCAAGTTACTTTTCTGTCTAACCTTGTTGGCCTTTCCAAACGTAATCAATCGGCCTATTCAGAGCAAAGAACATTATGCGGGAGCAAAGAGCGCAAGAAAAAGGAAATAATTTAACAGCTACAATAAAAAAATGTTTACACTTGTCACCGGAGTTGACATATCAATTCTGCAAAACAGCAAAACAATTTTAAAAGCGGAAGTTCAAGCATAGCACAAACAATTTTAAAAAGTTCACTTTCCATATTTTTAAAAAACCAAATACGCACAGGTTTTTAATTTCAGAAAATTCATCAACTTTGTACGACAACACCTACTGTGCTATTACTAACACTGCTGGAAACGTGTTTCATCCACGTTTAATGAGTTAATAACTTTTCCTTTTTCAAACCTTTTGAAATCAAAAATGATTATTCAGGTATATCGGCTTGGCAGAAAACCAAAAATATTAAGGGAACGGCGTTAGAACTCACTGCACCCACTCTCAGATCTCTTTCTAAGTGAGTTACTTAAAGATGATTCTACGCTACATGCTTTCAGTGGATAGATAACAGGGATGATAGGGGTGGACAAACTGAAAATGGCTTAGAGCGCGGTTTTGTTTAAAAATAGCTCAAGTCATATTTAATAACAGCCTCTTACAGTTCACGGTTCACTTACAAAGCTCTCAGTAATTACTCATTCCCACATATTGTGCCTCTAATTCACGCACGCTATAGACTATCTAGCCAAGAATTATTTCCGTCAATGTTAAAATCTTAGATAACGAAAAACAAACTAACAAGGTCGAAGCTCTAACGAACGAACTATTTAGACATTATTTAGACATTATAGAAGAGAAAGACAGTAGGCTCGAGAACTTTTATTAATGCACTTATCGACTACGTGCAATGACATTTCAGGTCTCAGGTCGAAAATTACAGTAGTAATCTTTTTAACTAGAATTTGAATAAGTATCGTATGAATTTTTGAGAATTAGGGCATTTTAAGAATCTACGTGTCTCATTTAAGGTTTACTTCAACAAGCGATTTCCACGTCTTAAATTCCCAAAACGAAGACTATAGCGACATAAATAAATAGAATGACACTTTGTGTTGCTTTTCCCAGCCGATACATCATTGTCATTGATATCAAACTGCCTAAAAAAGCGCTTAAGAATGTAGTGACTTGTAAATTTTGCCTCGGTTTTGTTGTAACGCATGCGCCTTTATCTACCGTGACATAGCTTAAAGTTTCGGCGTTGTAATTAAACTCTGAGAAGCGCGAATGCATAATAACAGCATAATTTTCCTTTTCTTGGTATTTAGAGATACTATAGTTGCGAATAAAGCTGCCAAACCTTCCTTTTCACCCCTGTATCTGTAACGCAATGACATTTGATATGCAATGGCGTTATGTAATCGGTATACCGCGTGACTTATTTTTCAACATCGCTGTTAAAGTAAAACCGTTCAGTTTTTTTCATCTACTACGGTGAAAATAAGATGGTTATTAAAGTCCGTTAGAGCTAGAGAGCAGAAAAAGTTGTGTGCTATGTTAATTTCTATTTTCTGACGGTCTACCATCACCACGGTCTACCATTCTGCAACAGTAAGAAATAGAATATATTATTATATTTATCTCATATGATGGTAGACCGTGTAGACCGTGTAGACCGTTGAAGCACGTAAATTCCTGACATTGCTGTGCTGGAAAATTGCTTTTCTTGGGGATAGTGTCTTCCTTTTTGCAAAGAAATAAATTTCCTTACCAAGTACAGAACTACAAAGCCACGTTGAATGCGAGCTCTCGCGACTATGTTACTGAAATACGCACGTGAATTTTCATTAGCTGATGCCTATAGCCACACTCGGGCTTCAAAATCGAAACAAAGTTGTAAGACGACCAAAGAGTAAACACAAATCCAAACTTGTGTTAAGTAAAGTAAAGTCGCCAACAGCTGCTTTTTAGCGTAACTTTTCTTTCCTGTAAATGGCAGGCGATAAAAGAGGAACCACGTCCACGTACTTATCGGAAACAACACCTAAAAGCTATCTCCTTGATCTAGCGGGGCATCTTACGTCACTTTCCTTCCATAAATAAACATCTTTTAACCGAGTTCGAAGAAAATATATTATTTTTCGCATCTCTGTAGCGTTTTAGGACCAAAAACCCCTTTCGTTGCAGCTTACTTAAGATGGTGTGGCATCTTTTGCCACGTGCTTCCTTTAAAAGCCCAAGTTCTTGCATATTACCACATAAACAAAAGGGCCAACAACCGCCGTTTTTGTCTCGCCATTTTTAAACAGGCACACTGACAAAAATGAAATACTGTTTTTTATAACCACCTCCTTAGGTGCTAAGAGTGCACCACGTTTTACCCCGTTTAATAATCGTGCACCACGGCTATAGGGGTATGAAGGACTCAGACAACCAGTTGCAAAAATGATGAGACACTCCCACGGAAAAACGACCTTTCTTGCTTCAAATCGCTCCTGGTCACAGGTCTGTAAAATATAATACTGACCTCCCTCCTCCCTCCCATTCAAAGTTGTTCCTCCAAGTTTTGAGTATGGTCTTGTATTGCTAGCAACTTTGATAAGGGGTGGAGGGGGGATCACAAGCACAAGATCATGGACAGGCCATTTATGCCAAAATACGGTACAGTGTCTCAAGTACTTTTGCAACTGGTTGTAGCATTTCAAAAATTTAACGCTACAATAGATCTAATTTTAATGTAATTAACTGTCTAGCAATTTAATGTATTTTTCGTCCTTTTATCATTTTTATTTGTTATCCTGTAATAATGACGTAATTCAACCCACGGGTTGCAAGGCTATAAAAACTACCCCATGTAACTACATTATATAGCCGAAGTCTAACAACATAGTGTTTCTATCTGATCTATTTTCTTGTTTTTTTTCCAGATGGCTGAAAAGCAGGTAAGGGTTTTGTTTCATGGCAACGGTTGTTTGCTAGGATCACGCCATTTAAGCGTCCAATCGGAGCTAATAACATCTCTCATAGAATTAAAGTGGACTGAAACTAAAACGATTATAACTTGACAGCCTCAAACTGGGACCTGAAAAATTTGATCGTATCGGCTTGTCGTGGATTTGAAAGGGAACAGTTTTTTTAACACTATTAGCAACTGCTTCGCTCACGGAAGGTTGGGTGCCTCCAGTATCTAAGGGCTTCCACTTTGGCCAGCCACTTCCTACAACGAATTACACCTATATGGCTGGCATAACCGCACAACCAATCAATGAGCCCCGTTACAAAGCAAAAACATGCACTTGTCATAAATAGAAAAGCAAAGGGGAGGGGGAATGAGATAACTGGCTGAAGATAACTTCTCACGCTGCCCAAAACATACGTCGTGTGAACGATGTAGCGAACTACTGAGCATGCGAATACAGATCGACCACTGACCAGAAGCACTGGTGGCGTTCTTTGTTGTCAAATCTTTTAACCCATTCGCCCCTACACCGTCCGTGCGGAACCATGTCCCTTGTATCGCTTGTGACGTCACCAGTTTAAGAGGTAAACATCTAACTTGTGCAGGGGGAAGAGATCTTTCAAATCATACCGATTCAGTCAAGAAGGCCAGAGAAAAAGGCAAAAAAAAAACTTTTTAACATTAAAATCGATGAAAATCTTCTTGCACTACCCACCCGTACTTCCTTCCATCTAATCCTACGATCCTAAAGGCTTTCCCATCAACGTTTCTGTATCAAGAAAAGCGAAAGAAGGGGAGAAAGGAAAGCGAAAGGAAAATTCCTGCGCATACCCGAACTTCGGAAGCTGATAGTATTTTGCATCTGGAATAGAAAGCCGCGAAGTGCACCACCTGCAAATAGCGTTTAGTTAAGTTTTAGCTTTTAATAGCCATAATAGCCATAGAAAACGGCTTGACAAGATTCAACATGTGTTTCAAGGCCAAATTCCCAGGGGGCGAATGGGTTAAAATGCATTTATAAGAAAACAAAATTAGTAAGCTTCCCAAACTAAACTTACTTAACTCAACGGTCAGTTGTGAAGGTGTATGTTCAAGCTTCTCACAATTTTGCATGAATAACGTTAGAAACGAAAAAAAAAACACAAGAATAACATTTTGCATTTTTCATTTACTAGCTAGATAGATGTGATCTCCATTTACTTATTTATTTATTTTTGCCTCACCTTCGTAGACGGGGCAAGAGAATTCAAATGGAGGGGACAACAGCCAGCTGAACCAGTAAGACATCGTTCCTTAGTATTTTCATATCATTTGTTATGTAGCCCGTTTGGAGAAGTACACAATCGATTAAATTAGTTTACAAGAAGGTGACTTTTCCTCATCAAACCCTTGATGACTATCTTTTTCTTTCTCATTCCTGTATGTCTCGTAGCTAAGGAACTGTCCGGAGAAAATCAATTAACGGGAAAACGTTTATTTTAGGGTTCACGAAGAAGAAGAAGAGCAGCCAGATTTACAGCTGGTTAATAGCAACAATACATTGGACGATGGAAATGTATGTAACAGTCTTAGCTATCATTTAGGCCTAAACAGTGTCTACTGCACTATAACGAATAGCTCTTGTGCCGGCACGAAAACCATATTGGATAGCCATCAGGGCTTTTGTTCACAAACAAGAACGGTGATCTCTGTAACTAACGTCAGTCACTTCTAGCTTTATCAAACTTGGCGTTTTAATGCAGCATGGTGGCATTATAAAAAAAACATATATTCACTAGAGCGAGTGCATGTGGTTACAGATTTTATCATATACACTCATGTATGTAATAAAAATTCTCTATTATTTTTCGAATCCCCCGTAATACACTCTGTTGCCCCCCAAAATTTGCATGAACCATTGTTCTCATATGCTCCTTGGAGTATTGCATTTTCCCAAAAGCATTTGAAGACAATAACCCCTGCAAAATTTGGAGGGCAAACAGAGTATATTAAGGGAGATTGGAAAATAGTCAATTAACCAATAGACCGTTTTCACATGACGTCACGTCCGCCATATTGGTTTTCCAAAACAATGAAACGGCGGCCAGGTGGGTGTCCCAAACCAGTCCTATGGGAGATGAACCTTTTTATTTCTTTTGTTCCAACAAATTTGCATAACAGCTGGCCACGTGAGTGAAAACGCTCTACTCTTGGTTGCAACGTCGTGACAAGGCGGCCATGTTGGTGGTCGATAAAATAGAATTTTTTCTCGAACAATTTACATGAAAATGGAGTGTAGTTCCCAGAGGAGAGAAATGCTTTTGTTCTTGACCAACAAAATCGCCGCCGTGACGTAACGTGCAAACCAGAAATATGTGAGTTCATTCCTATTTCTTTGGTATGCTAGCTTTTTCCACGTCCCGGTTGGACACAAAAAGGAAAAAGAGTGCAGCAGTGCACTGAAGAGGACCCCCCAGGGTATGGAATAAAATAATGTGTTATTCATGTTCTCCTAATAAAATAAAAAAACAAATTATTCCCTGAACTTCCCTGGACTCGTGATTATCGGTCTTATTTAGTGTAAAGATACGGTAAATCAGGCCACAAAAACGTGCACCTTGTTTTGCAACATTGCTGCAAACATGTTGAAAAGCGGTTTTGCGCGTTTTACCACCGACGAATCAAACCTGCCTTGCAACAAATCAGGATGTTGCAGGTTGCAAAAAGTTGTTACAGAAAGTAGAGAGTAGTTCTACTTGTTTAGCAACAAGTGAGGTAACTTCCGTGTATGTTGTGACTCCCGCGCAATTTAATCCAATCAGAAGTCAGTATTCACACAACTTGCAACAGCCTGATTTGCTGCAAGACAGGTTTGAACGAAGGTGGTAAAACGCGCAACATTGCTTTTCAAATCGTTTTGCAGAAGTTGCACGTTCTTGTTGCTCGTTTTACCACAGCTTGCATGACGCTTTGGAAACTCTCCACTTGTTTCCACTAGTTTGATTCTACTCAATAAGCAATTGGCCAAACGAAAGGCGCGCATAAATCAGTGGGTATAGAACAATTATAAGACGTCTGTATTGTAAGCAGTCTTTCCCTTTTACTTCTTCTTCGTGCGTGCTTCTGGAGGGTAAGATGAGAGACACAGTTTTCCTATTTTTGCTCTGAAGATGACTTAATTGGTCGAAAACGTTTGATTTCAATATTTCTACAACATTTTACACTTATAAGATAATATTTTAGTTTCAGTTCTATTTTCTTTTTTTCTTGGCTACTCACTTATGGTATGTAATCAAAATGTAATACTCCTTAACAATACTGCAATTAAATACACAATATAAAGAGTAAAACAACACTTCTTTTGATCTTTCCTTTTAGGAGTATTGACACTGAAACAGGAAATCCCCAGGTAGGCACCTACGACGTACAAATGTAGCTGTAAAAAATGGTTTCGTAGATCGTAGAGTCCGGATTTAGATTTTTGATCTAATGAATCCACTTGAGCAATGAGTTCCTCTTTGTGTTCACAATCCAGTATTGTATCTTTTTTGTAACAAAAAAAGGAAAAGAAAATCCGTTTTTGGATGCAAGAACTGAAAACGTATTTCTATTCTCTCAAAGAAACGTACCACTCTTAGACGAGCTTTCTAATGGTGTCGTATGTTAAATTTAAGATAGTTTTAATACAAAAATGTATTTGGGAGTTTAATCTCTAGTTTCTTCGAAACTTAACAGACCCGATGCAAAAATGGCTGTTGGATTAATATTCTTTTGTTTAAATCAAAATTTGCCTGACTAGCCTCGTTCGTCAGTACAAAATTAAAAAGAATACATTATCTCAAGTGGGGCTAATCAGGCTAATTTTAATTTAAACAAAAGAATAATAATCCAGCAGCCAAGTATGGGCACCCTTGGCATGATGCTGTGTTAATTCTTTCTTATATGTCGCTTTTATTTTACATTTTTTCACAGGAACACGACTGCTTGTGTGAGACATGTCAAGGCACATCCAGAGATAAATGATGTAATTCTTGTTAAGTTACAATTTCTTAAAATACTCAAAGGAGATCAAAGGCTGTAATCAAGACCACTACATAGCTCTCTCCCTCTCTGTCTCTCACGTTTATATTTATCGTAGATACTGCATAAACTGAACTGAACTAAACAACTTCATTGACGTGCCACATCTTCTGGCTGGACACATGTAGCCCACTAATCTAGTTGTAGCAGAAAAATTTGCACATGCAATAAGTTTGACTCACATACCAAGAACAATCGCAACCGGGACAAGGTGAAACATATTTCCCTTGTCTGGATTTCTGCGATATTTATTATGTAAAGAGGTCTGTTTTCAACATAAATTATGACTATCCGTGACATTTCATGTAAACATTACGTGACCTTTTATGCCCCCATCGTGAGGTGCAATACTGGAATAGGTTTTTTTGGTAGAATCCGACATCATGCATGATATGGAATATCCACGAAAAAAATTGAGAAACTGATTTTACGTTAGGAGAAAAACAAAAGAATTGCACATAAATAGTGTGTATTTTTATATAAAGTATAAAATTAAATCATTAAAGAAACAAGTTAGCGAACACAAAGAGTAAAAGTTGATTTTGGATTCATGAAGCTGGATGTGTTTGTTTCCTTGAAGGCCGTCTCTACGAAGAGGGTTTTACCTAGGGGTAAAACACACGTGAACTTGATATTCGTTTTCTGTCTTATAAGGAAAGGCAGTATATATGATCAGATCTGGAAGGTCTGAAGCCAAAAATGATCAATTAACCGCAGGTGCAGGGAATAATCTTTTCAGACCTGTGCTTGTAGTTACATTTCAACACTGGGAACCAGAACAGAAACAACTACGAACGTAGAGCAGGTTTGTTGGACGTAACATTCATACAGACGTTGCCTTACCTGTAATCCTTGTGGTGCTAAAAAGCGATCATAAGGAAACAAAGGCAAGACAGGCTAGGCAAAAACTTTTGTTTCCTTGTCAGAAGCCCCTTGCTTAATTTCTAAATGCCAGGTCGCCGCTTCCGCCAAAATTAAAATTCTCATTTGTCACCCTATTCATTTACCACAGAAGTAGTGGGGACAAGTTGATAAAATATCAATCAAACACATCTTGTGTGATCTTATCCTTAATTCTCATGACCACTCTATTTTACAAAGCATTGCCATTACAAGGGGAAATTTGATGTTGATCACTCTTAGGGTTAAAAGGGTTAAACATAGCCGTAACCCAATTTTAACACTGGGAATCAGACAGGAAAGCCTAGGTTCATGAGATATTTATTTTGCTCGTGCAAAAGGAAAATCTATTTACGTTGAAAGCTGTACTTTCGCCCAATATCCCGATTTATTTCACTCTTACAATATCTACCACTATTTTCCGAGAGATCTGCCCCTATTTCCGAGAAGTGTTTGTGTACCTACACAAACAACTTCATGTAAAACGTTGCGGAAGTGCCACATCAAACGGAAAACAGATGGAAATCAAACAAAGGCCAAATGAACAATCGAGAATTTAATGTAACCGTTGACTATAAAGTTCACTAAATCGTGCATAGACCGAATTAGTGTGACTGTCAGATAGTCAAATAAATTCACTTCTTTAGAACTGTCAACAAATGTGTGTTCCGACTGAGCAGCGTTGATTGAAAACAGAATCTTAAAATATGCTAATTCGAGCCAATATCCCAAAACACTAGCTCATTTCTTTCTTTATAACATCATGATTTCTTATCCAAGGGAAATATTGAGGGGAAAATCCCTTACGCCAGAAGATCCATTTATACAATAAAACGGTAAAATCCCTCCTAACTCTGTAGAGCGAGACGTGATTTGGTGGGAGAAGTGATTTTTCTATTCCACAGCAGAGCCTACGTATCACAGACGGAATATCTGCGTGACGTTTAACAATTTCTTCTCAGTTAATTCTACATAAGTAAAAAATTCTTGTTGTTGACCTGAAAACAGTGTAGATGTTGTGGTTCAATTTATCCTTGGTTTAAATTTTTCCCTTTGTTTTTGCTTGTCTGGGCACATTATTTCAGTAAAGGGAAAAATCCCTGAAATGCACTGATGATTACCTAGAGAAGGATATTTAAGGAGCGTACGAGCTATGGATTGGCCATGTCAAAGACTCGCGAAACTGTTCAAGTCAGTTCTAAATAGAAGGCTAAATGATGCCGCTTTTAAAAAAAATAAGAAAACTACAAGACAATTAGAAGCTTTTATAGCTGGAGTTGCAACGATCCGATAAAGAAATATTTGGAAAGAGGTAGGTAGACGCTCATACTTGCATTATGCGACGACATATTTACATTTGGCAAGAAACTACTTATGGATTCGAAAGCTTTTAAAAGACGGTGCAGGGTTGGACAGTCTCTTCTCTGAGATAATCGTTCTTTGAAGAGATTTTCTTTTTTGTTTAGGTTTGCGAAGTGGTATATAAAGATTCCATGGTTTCAAGGTCAGAGTATGTTTAAAGTCTTCGCCACATTCGCCTCGAAATCGCGGAAGTCAGTTCGTGAGACCCTCTATTTCTTCCTGAAGACCTTCATACATGGTATCGCTTTATCGCAGGCGATGTGTTTACATTAAACTGAAGACAAAAATTGTACAGTGTAAGTCAAGAGATACGACACTGGTTGTAAGTTTGATTGAATCATGTCGTAAGCCTACCGTAAAGACGTTGCATGCGATTAAGCTGTTGCATGTAAACGGGGCTTGAAACACTGGGCCGGAAGTGAATACTACAGCTATACAAGATGGTCACGATTGGTTGGAGTTCTAAATCACATGACTGTCATGTGTAAAGAAAAGCGCGCCAAAAGCCAAGATGATGAATGAACAACAGCAGTATATAACACAAAATAACGACGAATTTCTATGAGCTGCAGTGAGTATTTGCTTTAAAGATTTTTTATCCCGTTTTAATACACCTTTAGACAAACATTGAGCCGCGAGTATCCAAATATTGAAGTGGCTGATGTAGCTACAGTCTATCATAAAACAAAAGGGGTATTGTTTTTACCTCCCTTATAAAGCAGTCATCAGACACGTGATAAGTGGACAGAAACACAACTCGTGTGCATATGAAACAATCCCGTCGTCAAAGTGAGAGAACCCACGTGAGTACACTGCGAGTAAGGAACCTTGCTAAGAAGCTTTGAGCTTTCCTTTGAAAAATAAACTGTGCAGGGATACCTTTTCAAACGCATCACTCAGGTAGGTATGAAATCTTCGCAGCTGATTGTTCATTTGACATTGCGATGGTCAACGTTACGAGAAAGAAACAGTTAACTCTGCGCATAAAATCTCATTGATCGGGCATATTAAACAGCAAAAGCACGCCCATCAAAAATCCAAGACACTGACTTTCACCCTAAAGGCCCGAATAAGTGACAAAATAGCAGTTACTAGCTGTAACTAAGTAGGAATCTCAATTTAGGCAGGCGTGAGCTCCAAAGACATTCAAACTTCACATGTACGTAACTGTTTCCATTGCTCTCCATTTCAATTGCTTTTCGTTTTTTCTTCAATTTCACAGAGTTCAGAGAAGATCATGGCAGATCGAAGGGAAAACAACAGTTTTAATGTAAGTATCGGAACACGCGACTTCTTTAAAAAGTATTTTACTCATGGTGTGAATGACCAATGTTGCCACAAACTGAAAATGTCGCTACATTTGATCTAATAATCAATCTTGCTTTACTGTACAAACACTTGTACCACGATATGATAAATTGAACTTTCGCATTGTTCGGTAAAAGAATGTGGAAACGAATAGAAAGATACATTTATAACTACATATGCCTAAAAATGGAACACGAGTCGCCGCCTTGATCGTCAGCGATTCTGCTTTGGGTGCTACTGTGTTAAGTGTATTAGGAGGTGACAATCACCATTCAGTCTTTGCATGAAAACATATCCACTTAAGATAAATTTACGTTTTGATTGATCTGTGGATAAATTCCCAAAACGTGATTATTTGCAGTTCGTCAAAGGTACTGTCTTGTTTGTTTGCTTTTGTTATTACACATTTTACACCAAAAATGCTAAAAGATAAAAATATTTTAGACAACTACGCATATATTTTAGCAAATTTTTTCTGCGTATGGTAGCTTGCGTACTGAACAGCTCAATGCTAATTCTCGCTTTCTCTTTAATTTTAGGAGCTGCCCAACATAGGGTAAGTCAATAGCTACTTAGGAGTCATTCCAAACATAATTTAATGCACATTAAATTAGGTCTCCCTCATAGAGTCTAGCCTTTCCTAGGAATAGCTATACATCTTCAGTTGGACTCAAACAAATTAGCTGTTTTTCAAACGAAATCATTGAAAAAGCTTCTGTTGTGTATCAACGGATACTAGATATAATGAACACTACTAACAATCATGCATGGAAATAAAGTGATCACATTTGAAAGTGTAATTAGGTTTGCAAGGTATTAAAACTTGAGCTAAACAACACAAAATACTTATGGGAGTCATATATATGGTTTTGTAAGGTTATTAAAATTGTAGGGCCATGACACACTGTTACAGTATAGTATTGTCAAAACTTGTAGTATAAAATCAAATTCCTTTACAGTGATCATGAAACATAATTCAGTTAAATTTTGAGTCAAGAAATCACAAACAGGCCCTTCTGTGTATTCAGGTTGACTCACTAGTAATATTGATAAACGTTTATTGTGTAAATATTAGACATGTTTGGGCAGGTGTGTAACACCCAATGTCTGTATATTGCTAAACCTGGTAATTAGTGTACGATTTAGAACAGTTTGCAGACTAACTGTAAGAGTAGACATCTGAAGAAATTAGCTCTTAGGTCAGGTATTGAAGGAGTCACATCACAATCCAAACATCTAGTAAATTCTTTACCCCTTTTAAACCTTCCACACACTCAGGACACAAGCACCACAACATTAAAATGCATGCATGCTCATTGCAAGTTACTATTTTGAGGAAAGCATTAGGTACAAGATTTCTCACTACAAAAACACCACCGACCACTATTTTGGACACAAGAAGTGACCCTCTGAACAGGATATTAAACAAAATACTGTCACCAAAGATGAACACATGCACCTGTTCCATAATGTTGCAATAATTTAAATATTACTTACCCTCAGACTTCATCTTTGTTGCCTTCCAGGTTTCCCCAAGATCAAATTTCTTCCCTAGAGGTAACAAAAGTTTTCTCTAATGAATGGCTTTCTAAACGATTAGCCAGGAATTAATACATATACACTTCAAAGGCTTAGTCATGAACTGAGATATTCAAATCAGCAACAAATAACTATTACAGTAAAACCCTAATTAAAATAATGAAATGCTTGGGGACTGAGAGAATGTGTTTACTACTGTCAAGGTAAAGCTGCACAAGTCATGAAGCTCACAATTGGCTAGAAATAATCCCAGGTTCTGTAGCACAAAGCACCTATTATTGCTACCAACCCTTCCCCCCCCTCCCCCCCACGTGGACACGATGATAGTCCATCACAGGGTGACCTCCAACGTTATGTTGCTGTTATCCGTTTGTACACCTGGGTGAAGAGAGATGGTGAAGCAAAACTTCCTCACTACTCAAATGATACCGCACTTAATTTCATTCCAGAACAAGTTCATTTCATCTCCCCACACTTCTATGTATTTTTTTACTTCAATGACATTTTGTTCCTGTAGAAGTCATTCCGGAAGAAGTTCATTCTGGTTTTCAATCCAAGTGAAATTCTTGTTCTGGTGTTGAACTTTATTCTTGAAGCATGAAGTTGAAAACAACTTCACCTCAAATTGAAAAAGGCAGATTACATGTAGTCTTGAGCAAGTGGCGCATGTGTATCTGATCTGGCACAAAAAACTGTCTATGTAAGCGAGAACATCTTAGACTAAACCGCTGATGTGAATGCAGTATGAACTTCATTCTAGAACAACACTTATTCTGAAATCATTCCTGACCAGTTTCATGTAAACAGACTATAAGATGACAACATGACAGCAAGGCTTGAACTTGGAACAACAGTTCCAAAATTCAAGGTGTTACTATACTACCCAGTCACCATGCGTCCGCAGACACCCCAGCCAGGGCATCATACACCCTGTAGGCCAATCAATTTCCCAGTTCCTAATGGCACTTCAGCGTTAAACTGTGCAAAAAGGATAGTAATGTTATGCAAATAATTGAACTAGAAACACCACCATACATCACATTGAATATAAAACACTTATACAAGATTTGGAGTGAAAGAGAAGCAGTACTTATGTGCAAAAAAGTCTTAAAATAAGTAGTTTCAAATTTTATCAGCCATCTGCTCAGACTACCCCTATCATTTGAGGGTGTGGGGGGTGTTCACATGCTATGTAGCAATACGAGTATTGCAGCTAATTACATGCATGACTTTGACACCAGCATGAATTTCACACATTTCTCTTGTGCAGCTTGGAGAGCATCGTGAAAGGGTCAGCACTGAAGAAATGAGGTAGCATATTATCTATTGTTATCTAAAGCAGCAAGTAAAAAATTAATATGTGGGAAACTTAAGACAACAGAGAACCTCATTTTGCTTATTTCTTCCAGTGATGTTAAGATCCAGTTGCCACTTAACTTAGTTTTAATTATTAATAGTATTTGAATTTTCAAGAATTCCCATATATTCATGGTCGAGGGCAGGCCCTTAGATATTTTTAACATCCAGTGCACAGCCTGGCACAATTTTTGCAGGCAAGTATTCAGTAATGTACCATATTTATACAAATAGGTGCCCAACCTAGAATTAACACCCACCACAAATAAGCACCCATCCTTAAGACAGAAAAAGTTAATAAGTGCCCAGTTTTGATTAAGCACCCACCCCCACCTCTTCTCCTACTGCCACTAAATCTCAAATAAGTTGTATCTGCCTCTCAGGCGACTAACCCATTTGCTGACGTTACAATGTAGGACATCAAGGAGGCAGCACCAGAGAATTCACTTACTGACTTGCATGACAATGAAATTGAAATTGAATAAGTACTAATAAGAGACTTCCCTGAGGACCGAGTTTTCTTCGGAGTATTTTACAGAAAACTTGCTGTTACATCTTCACATTTTGTTATTACCATTTATTATTTTAATGCAAAATAAGCATACTATAGCTATACTTGCTGAAAATGGTGAAAATTTAATAAGCACCCAGCCTCGAATAAGCGCCCACCCAAGGTCCAACAATTTAATAAGTGCCCAGGGTGGTTAATCGAATATATGTGGTATGTCCCGCACGTTTAAATGTAAACATGAACAGGACATGTTTCAGTGCACAAAGTGTCATGTTTTTTTTAACTTTACTACATCAGTTTAGTAATTCTAATTTTACTTTTCCTTTATTATCCCATTATTTACTGCCTTTGAAGTTTTGGCCTTGCTAGTTCTTTGAACTTATGAGAACCAATATTTTCTGCCATCCTTAATTCAGTATGAGACGGGTATTCCATTTTTACTATCCTCCGTCTGGCCTGGCTACCTTCCAATTTTCCAGCTTTGCTTCAAGCAGTAAAAATGTAATCAAAAACTGAAGCTAAATTACTATGCAGTGCAAGAAAGAAAAACACAGAGTGACTGCTGTCTATTCCCCAGTAAAAATAGAATATTCCTTGCCTACAAAGGAAGGTAAGATAGGTGACGCCAAATCCATCTATATGAAACTACAGTTGACCCTCCATTTAGCGGTCACCTATTAAGCAGCCATCCTCTATCAAGCAGCCAGTAATCATAGTCCCAAAATAAAATTGCAGAAAAGAATGGGAAATTAATAAGCAGCCACCACTATGAAGTGGCAGCAGCCAACTTTTGGCCACCCCAACAAGAATTCTTCCACTGCTGTAACCTCAACTGTGTAACTATCCCTTAAGCGAAGTATCAGTTTGCCTCAACCATGAGGACCTCGGCTTTCGTCCAAAAATAAGGGGGCTGCCCCCCCAGATCCGCCTCTGTCAAGTTACATTTAAAGTGCATGACTTGCCAAACTTCTCTGTCACACTACCTTTTAAATTTTTTGCTCATAATATAACATTCAAGTCATACAATAATGTACATGTAATTTAAAACACTTCGCACTTTATCTCCACATTAGGCCTAGACAAGCTCAAGCCTACTACTCATACCTTTTGGAACTACTGTTTACAAATAATGAGATGGTAAGTTCTATTATGTAGAACTTAGAATACAATATAAATTTCAATTTTAACAATAAATTTATTATTAGTCCACTTTTATGGATCACATATAAAAGCATGTCGCTCCACCCTCAGAATCACGCTGCCACAATAATAATGGATACTCCTTGGGTTACTCCATCTAAGGCTGTACTTGGTAACCTGAACATTGTCCATTGTCCATTGTCCAAGATTAGCATGGAGCCAAACACAATATTGCACTACATGTAGGAAGAGTAGCATAACGATAGGAATAGTGCTTGCTTATTTCTTCATTCCACTATTTACTTATATACTTATTTATTTCATTCATTTATTTTATTGCATACTTGTGTACATCAGTTAATAGTACATGGCAGTGACCATCTCATAAGCTTTTCTTAGCTACTTTGGTCACTGCAAATATTTTACTTTTCACCATTTGTGTGATTGTTCTCCTCTTTTTTCCTCTTGTAATGTATTGTATTTACTTATGATATTTGTCAGTAGTAGAAAACAATAAAAAATCTGAAATCTATAATCAGTATAGCAAGACTAAAGTTTTTCGTTATCATTGTCATTAGCAACATCATCATCATCATAATTCTTGTCATCGTCATCATTATTATCATCACTATGCTTTGCAAACTTAATAGTGTCAGATTTTAATTTGAATGATTGATCTCAGAAAGGAAATCTATTTCAATAGGATTTCAGACACCGCTGGTGAAGGGCTTACTAACTATCAGGGTGCTAAGAAAGTCACTTTTACGGCTTTACAGCTTGTATGTACTAGCCCGAAAGTCAATTCAGCTAGCCTGAAAAAAAAATTGATAAGCAGGATTTATTATAGTTCTGCTGTAATTTGAATTCCCCCAAAATAATCGACTTGCTCGTCGGGTAAGAACAGAATTCACTAGCCCGAAAAGCAAAATACACTAGCCCCACGATATCGTATACCACTTTCTTTGCATGCTGCCTATGTAGTATTTTTAAGATATCAGAACATGCACCTTGTAAACTAGTTGTGTAAAAAAACACTTCTTGTTTATTGGCACTCAATAAACACAAACTCACTCCAAGACATTAGACATTAACATCCATAAGTTAAAGGTAAGAGAAAACTAAATCACCTTGAAAGAAAACCAGAACATCTTTTTTTGTTCAGCTTCAGGCAAAGCTACAAACAGATAATATTATCTTTTATTTTTGAGCATACAACCCAATAATTTTTGCCACCTTAAAGATTGGTGAGAAAGTTGCAGTATTTGAATCAATTATGAGTAATATAATAAATAAGTCAACAGTCAAAGTTATCACTACAGACACTTTGCAGAGTAAAAGCTCAACCAATGGCAGCCTTTTGCTCAGTTTCAGGTGAAATCGAGTACCTCCCCACAAAAGTACTTTTAATTAGAAGTTTTCTGCAGAGCAAATTTGAAAGAATTCTCTTGGAGTACAACCATTTGAGGATTTGATCTGATCTGGGCACACCAGATATTACTTAGATGGTTTCAGTATGCAGACAACCACGCAATCACAATACACCCAGTACATATGCACATCAATGCCTCCCCTTCATTGATAAATGGTGTACGTGTTTGGTAAAAGGTCTGCACTCAGCAGTAGGCATTTCATTTCCTTCCCCACTTCACCCGCTCTCTTAAATTTTTGCTTCTTTTTGCCCCATGCCTTCGCACATTTTCCACACTCCTCCCCTTTTTTTGGTGAAAAGGAAATGAAAATGAATGCTATGCAGGCAAACAGTGACATTGTTCTGTTACCTAATGATGGTCCCCCCTTACAGGAGCGTCATTTGTAAATGACACCAATATAAGGTCTTGGTCCTCCCAGGGGTTTCAATAAGCAGCGACAACCGACAAAACATGTTGGCTACATTACTCAGAGAAGTCGGCTACTTTTTTCCCCCAATGAAGAAGCAACTACTTTGAATAATGTCATGGACAAAAACAGAATTTGTTCACGCAAAAATATACGTAATGTAGTAATTATGATTTGTTCATTGCTTGGAGGATTTCATTGTGTGGCTAATAGGTCAAAATTTGACTTAAAACTCAAATCTTCCTGAATGAAACTCTTTTATACTCAGTTTAGTCCTCTGATTACTGGAAATCGCTTATTTAGGGTTTTGTAATTTTCAAATTTTCTAAGGGAGCATGCCCTCAGACACCTCTTGAAAATGTGGACTACTGGCCTCTTGTTGATACAGTCGGTTACTTTATTCAAACCCTGGTCCTTATGTGTAAGCGTGCGGTCATCGTAATTCATGCCCGCGTAGTCAGCATAAACGGTAATTAAGATACATACATGTATTTTCCAAGCCAAGCTTACAAACTTTATGTATCTACTATTTTTTCTTACGTTAGTGCATACGGGAGTATCTGCAGTAATACATGTAGCCCTCACCTTAAAATACACTGTGCCTTCTCTACAACTACATTGTACAAATACATTTTAAAAATCCCCACTGAAATATTTTTCAAAATGCTGCATTGAATGTTCATCAGAAAATTTTGTCCAACAATTAATGCAGCTGTTGTTCAAGGGGTTTGCATTCTACTACAATCTTTTCTCTCAAACACCTGCAGGGTGGATCAGCTATGAGATAAGAGGGAGGAGCACTAGAAAGTGAATGGCCGACAGCTCAGAATTTTGCTGCTATTAGCTTTGGGCATGATAACAGTCATATTACTCAACTATATATAACAACCTAAATGTAGTAAATGTGCCCTAATATGTATAAAATGAAGGGAAAAAAGGAATGGTTTAGATTAGTTTGCATACACCTACAGGGCTGTGCTCTAGCTTGCTCCTGGGCAACTAGGAAATCTTAGTTTTTTCATACAAATCATATGCTGGACACCCTTGATTTTACAGTTCCAGAGCAATGGGCTTCCTTCAGTTTTCCTTAGAGCACAGCCTTGACATAGGAAGATGCAATTGTTTTAAAATGTTTTTGTTACAGCATAAAAACAAACAGCAGTAAAAGCTTTGATACTGAGGCATATATTTTCTAAGTGTTTACAATTTAAAATTACAAAGCTATTGATTTGTGTTATGGAGAAAATTATATACTATTTTATTCACTGTCAGTCACTGTAAGTAATAATATTGTTTATTTTTAAATCCCATAATTTCATAGCAAAACAATTTAGCAAAAGGGACTGTTTAGTCCCTTTAATCCCCAAATATATTAATTCTCCAGACTGATTTCAGTACTTGCTTGTACATTTCCTTAAATAATAAGTTAAGAGAATTTTTTAGAAGATCAGAGCATTTTTTCTTATGTTGATCTTTTCATCAATTCTCATAACTTTTTCTCTTGATTTGGTATTCATATTTTTAGGATGAAATTGATGTTGATCACATTTCAGACTTAAAGGGTTAGGATACATGTTAATAAGCACCTACAGTTGTACCATAGAATTGCTAGTAAGGAAATCGTTTCAAATTAAAAGATATACAATGATGTATGTTTTATCATCCAGAATATCTTTTTGTCAACTGAGAAACAGGCCTGTCGATCAGCAGGTTTTGTACAATGTACTGTACCTTTTGCTCAAATATCCTGCATGGATTTGTACATGTAAACCAAGCAAAATTTGTCAATTTAAAGTATAAGCTACCATAGAGCACAGGTTTATTCATTGCTTGCAGGTTAAGCTTCTGTTCACTTTTTTTTTACTCTTGCTTTGTTTGAACGTTGAGGTTCAAATCTGTAATTTGGACTACATGCAAATTGTACATAGCCGCCGTTATGTTGATCTATTTTCCTTCTATTCAGCACAAAAGATCGATGCCCATATTTCAATAACAACAACAGACAAACGAACAGAGGGTTGTCTGCATGCGGTGCCTCTTTGTATACACATTTTACGTTTATAACTAGCCTGAATTATATAATGCAATATGTGAGATAACTCTCGACAATTTTTTGCTAAAAGAAGCGTGATAAACATGTTGGTTAACTGCAAAGGGTGAAGTGTGAACGTTCACATTAGATCTCTCGAAAGAAGAAGTCTCTTAGATTAAAGTTTGACCAAAACATTTTTCACAACTTAGTTACAACATGTACATGTATTTTAACAACAACCCCATTGCCCAGGATCCCTGAATAAAGTTTTATTAAAAAATTTATCCAACGTTTCTGTTGCTTATAAAATACTTACAACTGTATAGAGCCAAACAAAATTAGCTATATACAATACAAAAAATGCATAACATACTTCGCAATGCTGACATAATAATCAGTCAATTTTCTAAATAATAATAACGATCCACAAAGTAACTATTTTTGACCTGAAACTTAGACAACATGAAACTTTAGTAACATTAGCAAATTTCCCACTTTTGTCTGAGTCTGGTCATTAAAGTGATGAAAACAACAAAAGTCAGAAAAATGTTGCAAAAGTCACTCTGATATCATTCCTGCGCTGCGCTATTGAATTATCCACTAAGAAATAAACATGGCAGTTTAAACAACGTGAGATAATGTATCATGTAACACAGTCCTGTACACTTACCAGTTCTCTTTCCCAATTATCACCAGTCTGTTTCTGATTAGAGTATTGGAAATTTCCAAGAAATACTTTTTCACTGTACTGTACATCTAGTTTCATCTCGACAATCACTGTTCCTAAAGGGCCAAAAAAAAGAAAGAATAGTAACCAAATGTTAACAGATTTTTTTTAAAAAAAAAGGATCATTAACCAGCAGATTTTTTTCAAAAATCTTCAAACTCAAAAGCCACTAATCATGGAGGTTGGGCAGTTTGATAACAATGGTCATTAGACTAGATATGGAAAAAATAAACATAGGCGACAGTTAATTTGTCATGTCATAATCTGACACTAATCATTTAAATGCTGTTGGGTAATGTCATTCAGGTTAAGTTAATTTGCCCTTTAAAGGTATGATCATGTTATTTCCACAAGTAATAATTCCACAAGGCTATGCTCTTAAAGGTAGTCAACCTGAAGAAATCCAGGGCATTGATAGATTGTCATCTTTGACACCTAAAGGCAAAATTATTTAAATATATCGCCAAGGAAAAGACATTTGAACATATCTTTTATGATTCACAACCCAAGCCTGCAAGAGGTCTAGATGGAATTTAAGCTTTTAGTAATGGTCAAAAATTTATGTGCAAGAAATATTATCCAAAATGCAGTGCAGGGTATTTCAAAAGCTCCAGATCTTTTTCTGAACAAACATAAAATAATGCGTTGCTTCCCAAAATTTCAGGTTTACAAACATATTGCAAGAAAAATGAGATTATCAAAATTCATCGTTGACTGGGAGATTTCCTGTTTGCGAGCAGATGATCACCTTGTGCATGCACATTTGTCTCATTGCCTCAGAGGTGTTGCCCTTGTGTTTTGCTTTGAATTACTTTTGCCACTCTTTGCCATTTGTTTAATGCATGTTTACGTCCAAATTCTCTTCAGCTACAACATACAAATTGACGGTTTGTCTGTTTGCCATTTGTAAGGACTGTTTTTGCTTCATTCTTTTGTTTCTTCCTTGCGTTGTCCTACTTGACACACCAGAAACAGCTTGGATAACTCATTGCCTCCTCATGTATCCTTAACTTTGTCATTGCCCACCTTTTTGTCTACGGTTACCACTTCTGTGATGGCTCTTCAAACATCTGGTTCTACTTCTTGTGCTGTGATATTGCCTGAATTTTTGGCCTCGGTGATTCAGGGTATTCAAACACTGATTTCAACCATTGTGCAACAATCTTTATCTGCTGCAGTTGGTGCACCTCCAGTTCCTGTTTCCATTCAAGGTCTTCCCACCACTACTCAAAGCTCCAACTATCCACACTTGCCAATACATCCATAATTAGTCGGTAGCCAACATGCCCTCCTTTATATGTGGATGACACTTTTCAGGTATCATAGTATAAACTTAGCCAGCTCTATTTGCATTGAAAGTAAGCAAGGGAAAATTTCTCAATGCCTGCTACTTTTCCCACACAATGTAGTTTTCTGAACAGATCACTGTGAGCACTTCATCAATGATGCTCTCAAGATTTTCTTGTGGATTTAAGCCTGGTGAACTAGCACGACTTGTTTGTTTGTTTTATGTTGTTTTCAACGAAACTGGATATTGCTAATGCAGAACAATGTCTGAGTGGCCAAAGACCTGTAAGCTGGCTGGTGCTGAATTTTGAGGGAGGTCATTTGCCTGTTGAAGGTACAGCAATCCACAAAAGTCTCATTTCATGCATGAGGAGAACCACGTTACCAGCAATATCAGCAACTAATCATTAACGAAAAATAAGAAAATAACATACAAGTGATAAGCCAACAGCAAGAGTGCCCTTATAATTTAAGCTGCTGACCAGAAATTATCAAAGGGGCTCAGAGCCGTAGCTAGCAGGGGGGGGAGAGGCAAGGGGGGCAGCTGCCTTCCCTGGACCTGTTGAGTCAGACAAATCAAGTCTGTGGATGGATTTGTCTTCTTTAGACTCAGTTATTTTGGTTATATAGTGACTTGCAATCGTCTGCCATTTTCATATTCAAGGTCGATTTTTTGGAGCCACATCTCATGACAAGTGCCGATAATAACATTTCGGAGCCTCCAAATTTGAAAATTTTCTGAGGGAGGATACCCCCACACCCCCCTACAAGGCTCGTGCCTTCGGAACTCGCAATAATGCCCCCCCCCCAATTACAAAATACCGAGCTAGGCCCTAGGACTTCGATGTCTTGCACCACTGTAAGTGACGGTGTTACCTGGTAGTGTCTACAAGGTGGTACATTAAAAAAAATCCTCAGGTTTTTGGCCACCAACTGGAGAAAAATAGTTGCCAAGTGCAAATTTTTAGCTGCCAGTTTGTATAATGTAAATGACACAGCTCATAGCATGCCACAATCCATCATAATTTAATTGTTCGAAAATCGCAGACAGAAGTTTGTATAAATTTGGAGGTACTCTTTTTATTTAAATCTAAATCACAGAGAAATCTAGTCACCATGGTGGCAACTAAACCAGATCTTTTAGTCCCCAAGGATAAATTGTTAGTTGCATTGGCTATTGTATCAGTCAAACTGACAAGCCCTGCGGTACAAGTGGTCGATAGGGGCAGATTCATTGGAGATGAGTACTAGCAAAAGGGCTTTACTAGACAAACAACAACATGAACATGATGTGGCAACTGCTGAATCCAAATCCGGACTGTCTCTCTGCCCTTTCTTGTACTGATCAGTATACTGGTAACAGTGGTCATTGACTGAGATTTCTTAATTAACCTGATATTCACCACGAAAAGGAAGATGAACTCGGCAGTGAAACAAGGACCTGTGTAGAGTCTTTGGTTTCATTAGTTTCACATTTCCTTCCATTGAACCACACCTCTAGTTCGTACTGAATAACTATACTAATTTCTTACTTCACTACATCCGCATATATTTCATCATAAACCCATTCCAGGGAGACTACAACACTACACCTTTTATTCCCCATCTTATCTAGCTCGGCACAAAGTCCCTATACAAAGTGTTCTGTGTGGAAGTTCGAACTCCTGCGGACCTTCTGAGTCCTGACTGCACATGGTCATCAGTTTGATGTGGGTCCCCTACATGTTGTACTACTTCCATCTCGGGCAAACTGGGAGGAGAGTCCTATGAGGGGCTGTCAGGGTACACATCCAACGTAGTTCTCTCCTTGTAATGCTTGGGCATTACCAGGGCCATTTTTGCCCAGTATAACACGTCATACTCCTTCTCCCTTGTATACTTAAGTACTTTGCACTGTGACAAGTCCTGGGCTTTGATCTCTCTCCCTATTTTAACTGCGACCATAGTCCCTTTCACACCTATCACTGAGTAAGGAGAGGGGTCATATGTTGGGGTCAACTTATAGGCTCTGTTCTGTTGCAAAAGGACCGGGTCACCAATGACAATCGAGCTTTCTCAAGCATTAATTTTTCTCCTTTTGTCTGCGTACTCTTTCATGAGTTTTTTCTTTGACACATCTCACCTCCGGGTCTGGCCACTCAAAACTTCCTTCGTGGAAACTATCCTTTTGGGTAGTTTCCACGTAACTCTCTTCCCAATGTAAGCTGGCCCAGGGTCTGCTTTGTCACTGGGTGGGGCACAGCATAATAGTTGCCAATTGTTTTTTTGAACTTCCTGTCGAATGGGTTTCCTTTCAAGTCAAGCAATTTTGGGGCTCTATTTCAGCATCTGCATAAAACGTTCTATGTCTCCATTGGCCTCAGCCCAGGCAGTAGTGACCTTGCCATGAAGGAATCCTTGTTCCTGAGCAAAGTTTGAAAATTTCGATCCATTTAACGGAGGCCCAATGTCCATCTTAATCTCTTCAGGAATTCCAAATGTGTGAACACGCATGTAAAAAGTATAAAGGCCCCTTCCACTGGGGCATAACTTTCTACAAGTCGTGCATTGTACTGCATGATACACAGGAATGAATGGAGTTCCTTGGCATTGCAGAGAGGTTCCGCCTCTTATAACCTCTACTTTTGCTGGATCAGCAGAGGCCCCTTCTTTTGAGAAAACCATTCTGTAATACAGACATCTGTCTTTATTGCATTCGCACTTGTCCTTATTAAAGGCGATTCCTTTCTCTCTAGCCCTCTTGAACAATAACTGTTCTAACAATAATTATTTCTCTAAACACTGGTAGTGTTCCTCTTGGCCTTTGCCAAATACAAGAATATCATCACCTATCTTGATACATCCAGGAATTTCACATGTTATCTCCTTGTTCACTGTATCTTGAAAAATTTCTCCAGATGACTTTGTGCCAAAATTTAGTCCCTTGTACCCATACAGACCCACATGTGTTGCAGACGTGGTGATGTCACAAAGGTTCTCTTTTAATTCCAACTGGTGATAGCCATGGTTCATGTCCA